TTTATGTGATAATTTGTTTATAAATCATAATTATAATAGTTGTAACTCAAGCAAATAATAAATTCATGTTAAAATACCATTCATTAATCATACATATAATCATTAAAAGTAACAAAATATTATTATTGAGAAAAGATTATGTGTGCAATGGAAGATAAATTTATTAATATAATATAATTAACTTAAATTCATTAACATCATATAATTAACTTGTAGCTTATAATTTTTGTTTGCTTAGACTTGAGACACATAACGTATTATATTTTTCATAGGTGTTTAACTCATAATCAACTTTTACATATAAATAATAAAATAATATATTTTTATACCTTACACAAAGTGTTGCCACAAGTTTTGGGAGAGCACAGTCAAAACTTTTGCATCCATAAAATATGGATCAAATTTTTAAAAATTTGAGAGTATGGCTTGTTAACATTGATATACAGAAGGTTTATTATTAATATATAACAAGTTATCATTTAAAGTTTTAAATTACAAGAATTTATCATTTATATAGAATGGTATGTCATTGATAGATATAATAAATTGGGCATAATACAAAATATAATAAATATTAGGTTTGTTGTGTTTAGTTTGATTCTATCAATATATTTACATCCATAAAATATGGATCAAGTTTTTAAAAATTGAGAGTATGGCTTGTTAACATTGATATACAGAAGGTTTATTATTAATATATAACAAGTTTATCATTTAAAATTTTAAATTTACAAGAAATTTATCATTTATATATAATGGTATGTCATTGATAAATATAATAAATTAGGCATAATACAAAATATAATAAATATTAGGTTGTTTGTTTAGTTTGATTCTATAATATAAGTTATATCTACAAAAACCTCACAATAATAAATATATAAAATTTTTTTATATCTAACACCTATCATTTTAATAAAAATCTTATATTCACCATTAATTGTTACTATGGATCCTACATAATCTCTCAAAATCTTATATTCACCATTATTTTTACACCTTATTTAAATTTTTTAAATTTATAAATGTATTTCCCACCACATTTTTTATTGGTAGATCCCACACACTACTTTTTTAAATCACACTATTCGAAATTTTTTTAAAATTAAGTTTATTAAAATCTTACATTCACTCCATTACCTTTGGAGCCTCAATTCATATCAAGTTTAAAATATCTAAATACATAAAAAAAAATTATAGTTAAACCCAACTCTTAAGACATCTAGCTTTTGCATTTTTTGAGGTTAGTTTAACTATCCCATATTATTAAAAACTATTTTATTTTATTTTTTTTTTTATTAAGTCCATAGATTGTGTCTTTAAATATTTTTTTGGCCAATTTATATATTTAATTTTTTAAAAAAGTTACAAGATAAATACATTTAAATAATAAAAAATTTATTTTTTGATCATTTAAATAATTTTTAGACAACATTTATATTTAAATAGGGGTATTTTAGTCTAACATATATGACTTAACATTTAACTAATAATTAGGTGGATGAAAAAAATATTAAAAATAAAAAGGAGGCTTGCATTTTAAAACTATCTATATTAAAAAATGTTCATATAGATTTTAAAAAATAGAGGAGAGATATCATTAATCAAGACAAAAATAGACAAAATATTTTACTTATTTTAACTATAATTTTATATTAATAATTTATTTTTGTAGTTCTCACATATATTTCTTTTACTATAGAACCCGCACTATTCTTTAACTTTTTTATTATATCATATTAAAAAAATTAACAATGAAAAAAAAGCGAAGCTACCTTTAAGTAATGAAAAATATAAAAAGCCGGATGGCCCATCGACAGCATTTACAATATATATTTGGATCATCTTAAGCTCATTGACAGGCCCAACAATTTTTTTCATCACAAAATTTGGGTGGTAGGGCCCAAGTTTACCTCAGAGCAAGTAATTATTAGAAACAGACGACGAATTTTTGCAGCGTGGCAGGTTGAGCTGAAAATTTGAAGTAATAATGAACGGTTCTGTGTTGTGTTGCAGACTCAAAATTTCCTCGAGATGCACAGAATACGTTATGCTTCACTCAGTTTAACACTACGTACTGCGTCCTTGCTCGCTCCTCCTCCTCCTTCAAGCTCTGCCATTATTGATCTCTCAAAGCTTTCATCATAACGTCTCATATTAGAAAAATGATCCAACCACACGTCCTTCAAAGTAATTTCAAGCGTTTTTACAGTTTCGTTTTTTTTGTTAATTGATGGTTGGAGGGAGCTTATATTATATCACATGAAAAGAAATGGAGTATAGTAATCAGTTAGATATATAGGGAAGGAAAGAATGAAAAAAGTGAAAGGATACGGTGGGGAATTTCTGAGCCGTATGGAGATAGCATTAAATGCCTTATGCATTAATATTAATGCAGCGTGTCTACTGTTAGTCTTCTTGTGTGATTCTAATCTAACAACAAGGATCTTTGGGACGATACGCTTTATCCCTTTAGTTTTTTATAAACTGGCACATTATTCAAATATGTCAAGTCAACTACGTCTGTATATTTTGGTGTTCAGTTCTTGTTTAGTGTGGATGGCTAAAAGTTTGCTTTCTTTCTTTCTTTCTTTTTTTTTTTTAATACTTAAGCCATGGAATTGTTAACTGATGTCTACAATCTAAAACAGTCACTTCAATAATCAATATCAAGTTGATAGCCATTACTAATAACTAGTCTACATATCAGTGTCTAATTTGACCCAACCTTCTCATAGAGAATGTCATTTAAAGGCATTGTCTTTGTATGTCGAGTTTAGAATATTTTTCAAAGATTAGAGTCCATCATCCTCAATTATTATTGAGAATACAACATCTTTATCATTGGTTGGTTGTATGCTGCATCTGTCCTTTCAGATTTTCTTGGAGCTTTTCTGGCTAACTTCAATGCATGCATCAAGGTTCAAGCTAGCCAGCTAATCAATCTCATTTTTAGAACAGAAGAAGAACCTTGACGGTCAACATAATAAGATTAACAAGATTTACATCAATCGAAGCAGAGAGTGTGTGTTTTTCCAATAGTAACATGATAGGCCGATATGTGTGATTTTAATTGACTATAAAATCATTTACATATGATTGCATACTTGCCTGTTTTAATCAAAAGTCTGGCAATAATAATAGTAAATACGTATAATTTCATTTCCTCTTAATGTTATTAGTAAACTAGCCTATGCAAGTTTGTTAGATAGAATAGAATCGTTAACGCGGAAACCCAAAATGTCTTCCATTTTTTTCTCTCAAAATCCCCAAATTTACAATTTTATAAGTCAATTTTGGATTGCTTCACAAATTCAGAGTATGGCAAAAGATTTGGATTCAAAGGCTCAATCCTTCACATGTTATCCAATTTTGCGAATTAAAATGTTTAATGGCTTTCTTTCACAAGCGTCAACAAAAAGTACATGGCAAGATGTTGAATGTACGTACTGTAATTGCAGATGACGATAACCCTTAGAAAATCCTGACAAAAAAAAAAAATTTAAAATTTGACACTCCAGAAACATCAAGCTGGTGGCTTTTGCAAAAGATTAAGGATAAGCTAATTCGTATATATTGACTTATAAAAAAGGGTATTACAATACATATATCAGTATTATTGATGTAACTTGTAAAATCTCGTTTTGATTAGTTGCAGACACTGAAGTTTGTCTTGTTCAACAGTGAATCTTGAAGATGAAACTAACAATACATGAATGAAAAGGAAGTTTTTCTTAAGGATGTGTGCAGGTGATGAGATCAGTATAATTAATTAATGAAGTTTAATTGTGCTTGTCAAGTAGTGGAAAGAGTCTTAATCGGGTTCCCCGCAAAGAGAGATAGAGAAGATCAAGTACAGCAGATGGGAGATCAGGCGTGCATGTCTGTTTCTTCTTCTGGTTGACACTAAATGACACGACCCTTTAATGAGGATATCGATCTAACGCTCACAAACATACAAAACTGAATGCTGATCCATGAGAATCTAATTAACACTGGCTTGTACATTATATGTGCAAATATATATATATATGTATTCTTCCAACAAATTAAAGCTCTTTTGATATCCGAAGTTACAAAAGAAACCTCACATCACACATCCCAATATACCCACAGATGACATTACCCCATAGTACAACTCAGTTCTTCACTCTCTCTCTCTCAAGATGCATGCAATTCCCTTGATAATGAGGAAACACCATAGATCTAGGTTCTTGTAGCATGTTTGGTTTTCTGTGATTCATTGCAAACCAAGAAAGCCAGAAAACATGTGTGGTGATCTGATCAATGTTTCATTATATAATATATGTATATAAGCAACTACCGATGGAATTAATGCAGCCTCATATATATATATATATATATATATCCAAACATGTGTTAATGTCTGGGGGTCTCTAAATTCATCAGTTAGCATTTCGGGCCACGAACCATATCTTGCTGGACAAATTATGCCCACTCCGTTTCCAGAAAAGGACAAAGTTTTTCTTCTGTCGCTACAACCAATATGGGCCAGCACTGTTTTCTGCTTGAGTTTTCATGAACTCATATGATTCAAAAGAATTTACAGTTTTTCAATTACATGCTTTATTATTATTATTATTATTATCTATCTTATCTATCACTAAAATCCCTGTGCAAAAAAGTCAAATCATTCTCGTTTTTTCTCTGGGCAACATTTGGCAACATGTTGCTCTGAGATGAAATAAGAGGGGCCTTTTCCTGAAGGAGTGTCAAGTCTCTTTCTAAGCAGCATTTGTTTGTGTGTGTGTGTGATGAATCTGTATTATATAAGTCATAAGAGAGGTCTTTACTCCTTCCCGACTGTATCAACTCACAAGTCCGTGACTGTTTCAAACTTCGAAGCAGAAGCTTCTGACTTCTGATGGCCAACAACATCAGCATCACGGGCACAGTTCTTTTCCCTTTTTTTGTTTTTTTTTTTTTGGGTTTTGAAAATCTCTTCTGTCGCTTTTTAAGAAAAATCTCAATAAACAAAATAGGACAATGTTCGGTTTTTATTTTATTTTATAGGAAAAGAGAAAGACAAAGTTACACAAAAGCAGCGTCATCCCCATACTGGGCCAGGGAAGAGGATAACACAGCCCAACTCCAAACAAGATTCCAGTTGCAATCTCCTGTAAAGTTCTAATAATAACCTCACAACAGGTCAAGAAACAAAATAATAATAATAATAATACCCTCACAAGGCTGTCCATTCCTTCTAAGGAGTCAAAATTACCAAAAAGCCATCGACTTCTCACCTTTTGATTAACCTTTGACACATCATCTCTACATGCACACAAAGAAGAAAAAGAAAAAAAAAAAAACAAGATTTACCCAAACTCTCCTTTCTAAGAGGAAGGGGTTAGTTTGGTCATTTCGTCAAAACATGTGTCACTCTTTCATCAAACGCAAAGGGAGTCTTCTTCCTCAATTCTTCTGAGCAAGTGATGAACTGCTGTCGCTATATCCTCCGCCGAACCAAGGCGGCATCCTTCTTCAACCTACACATACAAAATCCCCCCACATCTGAACCACGCAGTACGTTCCATTTTTCATATATATATATATATATATATATAAGGAAGCACATCTTCCATCTTTTCTTATCTTGTTCTAGCAATTAAAACTCACCAATAACCTAATCACTAGAATAGAAGCATGGTAAAGCACAACATTGTCACAAGTTCAATTAACATTTTAGAAAACTAATGAACAATCAAGAGTTACATTGTGGATGGCCTGTATTTTAATAGTTTGCTGAAGTTCAACACATTGCATTAAGGTTTGGAAGTTCTATCCATGAAAAGTTTACATACCTTGGCACTGATAGAATAAAGCACCAAGGGTCGATGGTGGTGACATTAAGATGGAGGATGGTGAGGTAGAGTGTTTGGAAACCAGAGACCAGCTTCGACAATTGTCTGGGGCTTCTCCGTGAGAGAATTCTAAGGTTTGCATGAGTCTCTATCAAGGTGACCTCAATATCAGCTATGGCTGCTTTAGTCTTGGATGGGTATTTGGTAGGAGCCTGAGACCATGTGTACTGAGGATACGCAAAGAATTGTGCAAAAGGGGGACTCATGAGTTTGAAAATGGAAGAAGAAGAAGACTCTTCATTAGTTTGTGCTACTTCTTGTTGCAGAAGCTGCAACTTCTTAGCTTCAAGTGACTGCAACAGATGCTCAAGCTCCTTCACAAATTCTATAGCACCACCAACTATAGAAGCCTGGTCACCCTGTAAGATACACACAATTTGAACATTTACCAATGAATACAGCTTTAGATTTCTACAATTAATGTCTATCTTGAAAAGCTGTGCGTGAAAGTTTGAAACTTCCGGTCTGTGCTTTGCAGTACGATGAACAGAGGAATATGTTCATCTCTGCTTTTATGTGAAACCTCAAAATTTCTAACTTCGGTTTGAAGAATCCCAAGGGGGGAAAAAAAAAGGAAAAAGGAAAAGATTAAAGGCAAACCCTTTGAACATAGGATTCAGGCATGAGTGAACGCAGGACTGCGAGATGCTCATTCATCTGCTTGCGGCGGTTTCGTTCAACTGCAATGTGGGTCATTCTCTGAGTCTCAGCTTCTTCTTTGTTCTTACAAACCCTCGGCTTCCTTCTCCTCTTCTTCCTCCCTTGCACAATAGGCACCTGAAGCTCATCAGAATGGCGTTTCCTTGAAGAAGAGAGATTACTGAACAGCGCAGGGTCATGTTCCAGAGGATTAACTCTGTTTTCTAACAAGACATTAGCTTCCGAGGAGGAATCATGGTGACTAAATGGCGTTGCAGAGATAGTGTCATGGATAATGAAGTTGAAAAGCTCATTAGATGCAAGAGTCTCAAGCAGTGCCATTATCCCTTTGAGAGAGAAACTAATGGAACATATAAAACATTATATAGCAATTGATATAACATGCAGAGAGTTTGAGAGAGAGAGAGAGTGTGTGTGAATAATGGAGGAGAAGAGGATTCGAAGCACGTGAGAAGGGCAGAAAAAGGTGAGGTGCTTTTCCGCAACGGAAGAGAGACGTAAAAGGGAAAGGGAAGGAAGGTCTCACACAAAAATCACTGTGCTTTCCAAAAATTCACAGATGATTGATGCTGTCAAACACAGGGGAGGGACGTGGGGGACCCAAATCTATATAGAAAGACGCATACAAACAACGAAACGAGCTGTGCAATGGCAACTCTACGCATTCAAATCTGTGTCGGGCTTTGCAGCATATGACTGCTTCACGTACCTCAGATTCCCCTTTTAATAATTTACAATTACACTATGATGGCTCTGCATTAATTTTCAACAAGTTAGATTCAGTCAGCATCTAATAATTGTAGATGTAATCGACATTTTCGATGCGTGTATCTCTTTTCTCGTTTTCAAGCTCAATAAAATATTGGAGTTTTTAAGAAAATCATGGTAAGGGCAATTTGAGTATCGTATGTCAGTCATGCTGTTAAAGATGAGATATGACTAAAACTACTTTCTTCTATAAAACTATATCTCAATGCCGGCTTGTTTCAAATTGCCAATATACTAATCAAAAGAATGATTCATTCAATCCTTCATGACATCCCTTATGCTTTGAGAGAGAAGAAATCGACGAGTCTTCCGCATGAAATTTAAAATGGATTCTATTATTCCATTATATTATTCATAGATTATAAATAATATGAATCTTTATAAATTTTACATTTTATATTAATACATTGTTTTTAACAAACTTGAAGATGTCAGGACACTCCAAAGGGTTCTATAAACCCAGATCTTTAGATTGTGGTACATGACCCTGAAAATATTACAGTTTTCAGGGGCTTTTTTATGTTAGTCCAATGCAATATGATATAATTGAACTTTTTGTACATACAATGTATGATACATCATAACCATAATTTATATACCCAAACTTTTCCCCTCATTCATCCTCAGTTCCATTTTTAGCTAGCGGTTGAAGCTTGTGCCCCACAGTCCTCTTTGATTGTACCCCAATATTCAAACTTGTAGAGCTTTCAAAACATAATTGCATACAGTGAAGTGAGAATGATCAGAGTCCAGTTCAAGAGCTCAACAACACACAATCCTAGCATTTACAAGGGAAATGACTCTCCTTAATATTTGAGATCTATTATAATCAATACCTTCGTAAATTTATCGCCAAACATGCATTCTTAACAATTACAGCCTGGGTAAAATCTAGAAGTTTCCTTTTAGCCACAGATGGAGGCAATATAGAATTGTACCCAGCTTCAAATCTCACTCAGTTTCAGTATCAAAGACGATCGTGATGCATATGAATCCTAAGCTAATGGGTTCACTGTGTGATTTACAAAATATTTTCCTTTCAGGTTGATACTATAAATAAGAGAAAAAACTACAGCGTTGCCAGCGGCTGCATCAACCGAGTTTCAGCTTGATACCATAAAAGTCAGCAATTCCAGCCGTAATTGATAAAACAAAAGTATAGACAATCAAGATACAAGTGGCTGTAAAAGATGACGCAGAGAGGGTATTCATGGACATGTTTACCAGTCCGGTGAGGATATTTGCCTGCAAATGAAATAACTATGATCGATTAAGAAGCAAAACTAGAGAAAGAAATCGTGTAAATTTAACTAAGGAAAATTTTGTTCACCAGAAGAAATGTAGGCAGTAAGTTCCGATTAAATGCCTCTTCAAGTAACGAAATTTTACTTCCAGGAACAAGATCGCCCAGCATCAGAATTGAAAAAATCTAAAAATATATTGAAAAAAAAAAGGAATATTCTGATCAGAGATTCAAATACTGAATCTGTAATCTGATGCCCAAATAGCAGTCACTTTGTCAATAAAAGATTCGACGTTGCTTTACTGGGAAATATGGATTATGAAACTCAATAGAAACCCCTGCTGCTGCATTTGATAGACAGATTACTTAAACAAGACTATTTCCATCAAAATAAGGTGATAAATATTAATCAGCACTAATGGAAATAGATTCAAGAAAGAATGGTAATAAATTGGCAACCTTGAAACAAGGTAGAGTGAACAATCCCCATCAAACTACCAAAACACAAAATTCATAAATAGAAGGGAGTAAGGATAACCTGTAGGTTGTTAGCGAATACCATAACAACATATGGAAGGTTGCACTGCACAGAATGTTAAAAATTAGCTTTCATCTACTGATTCCAAAAGGCAAAATTGAACATTAGTCCCATGGGTTTGAGGTGTTTCCATTTCGTTCCCTAAATTTATAGTTTCAATCACTTCTTTCAGTTTCACTAAAACGGTAAAATATTCAGTCAAGCCATTGGACCCATTGATGGAATCATTTTACATAGCATGTAAGTGTAAAAGTACTCGCCGATTATCACATTACATTGATGCCCAACGATTTCTAAGGATTTCACAATTAAAACAAGGATTAGTAACACAACTATCAAACAACTTTTGCAACTTATCTCGCTCTCAACTCAACACAAATATCAATTACACCCAATTTGTACAATCTCCTCCACCCCATCAATCCAGTCCTTTCCTATTCCTCTTCTATTTCTCCTGCAACTCAGAAGACAGAAAACAATGGACTCCAAGCGAACATCAAAAGGGGAAGTGTAACATCTGGAATTACCCTATCCCACTACTACTATTAGTATTATTATTATTAAAGCTATGAATTATTAAGTTAGTCTCTAATTAGAGGAGAAAGGATTAAAGGTATTAAATTTAGTATTTATAATAATATTGATATTAGTAATAATGTTTTATTATCTTATTTTAAGAAGAAACCCAATTCATTAAGTCTCTATTGCAACATGCATTAAACGAAGAAACTTACATGCTTTGGCCAAAGGAAAGAAAATGGTAAGGCACAAGCTATGTCATTCCATATTTGTGTCTCTGTGTCTGGTAGAGTCCCTCTTGTTCCATTAACCCCAACCAACTTTAATCACACACAATAGGAGGAGGACTGAAGGGAAAAGTGGGGAGTCAGCAGAGAAGCAGTTAGTGAGGGAGTAGAATAGGGATGGGTATCTAAGCGCCATTATCAACTTCTAGAAGCTATTATGTTAGTTTATGATTAATGGTTATGCTGTAATTTAGGAGAATTTATCAACAGTTGCATTACATGTATCTTTTAAAAATAGTAGCAGTAGAGATGCAATAGGATTCAGACTTGTTATTTATTTGAACTTGCACTTGGAGATTCTACTTGGTCTATTGAAATTGGTAGTGTTTTCAGATTCTGGCATCATTATTTTCAGGTTTTTTTTTCTGTTGCTATTTCACAAGCCCATATCCTATCAGTGAATGTGTGTGAGACTGTAAGTATAACAACTATAGTGTGGCAATAAGTACCTCGCCAGAGCCATGTTTTCTCATGCACAATGTCTCGTCTTCAATTCTCCTTAAATGGCCAAAGAAAGTGGGAGAGTGTAGAGGAAATTGATCTAAAAATTCTTAGGATTAGTGGATGATAGCAGAACCACAAGGGCTTTATATTAACACTAATTCATTTCCAAATGGTATGTTTGATTGTGTCTCTTGTTTGGCTGAATTTAAGGGAGGAAAAAGAAAGAGCCCTGGGAATTGATGTGTTTACTATACTCTTCAATGGCTGTATGTTGTGTTGTGACCATGCAAATGCCAGGTAGGAGGATTCCAACAATGGCACGGATTAGAAAAAATATTGCATCATTTTAGCAAACTATAGGGCTTGGCTGAATTAGTAACAAAAATTAAGGTGCAAAGTTGAAAGCCACCACAAACTTAAGGGACAAAGATGCCTCCTCGCCAATTTAAATTAAAAAATCTTCAAATGCTAAGACTCCCTACCATTCTCCGAGAGGCTTTTTCAACATATCTGTCTAGTAGCACACTTAATAACCTGACATGGGCATCAGAACAGAAGAACGCATTCATAACTGTGAACTTCATTGAAAAAAGTCAAACAAGTGCTGGATAAAGGGTTACCCGAATGATAGACAGAGAATCCATACTCTTATCCTAACCCATCTGCTGCTTTTAGACGCAGAGGAGGATGTTTCAAAGAAAAGATAATTTCCCAAATGAACACCAACAAGGTACATACCCCAGTATCCTGGTGACAAAATAGCATTATTCCACTAAAAATTACTTTAAGGAAAATGATTGAAAGTACATTCTGACCAAATCTCATCCCCAACACCAAGATTAAAGCATGAAGGGTAATTCTCACCAAATAAGCTAAATAGCCCCTCTTTGTTTTGGCTGATAATATCAGTTCCTCTTTCATTAGAAAGCAGGTAGTTATTTAACCCAAGCAACAAACAGAGCTGGTACACTTAAAAAGAAAAAAAAACAGAAGATAAACTTGTGAAAGAATCATGTTACGGAAGATAAGACCTGCAAAGAAGCCTGAAATAATAATTTACCTACTAAGACAAGAGAGCCAAGAATTCCAGAATATTGTGGGGGAATATTAACCATGGAAGTAAGGATTGAAACACCAGCAAGTGTGAAGAAAAAATTCCAATGCACACCATATTCACTCACATGTAACTGCAAGAAAAAGAAATTCAAGTATACATTTCCATAAGAATGCCTTGAACTATGAATTTGACCAGAAGAGCTCAAACATCTAGAGAGTAGGCACGCAAAAAAACCATAGGAGTAAAACATTTGTCAAAACAACCATGAGAACCACTACTTTCGTCCTTCCTCTTATGTTACTTTGCTACTTATTTGGCCACATAATTTCTACACTTGAATATATTGAGGGTACAACAAAAAGTAAACACTAAAATTGTCCAAAACTTTATTATGTTTTGATCTTGTCGAAAGCTAATTTGCTGAATAAGATCCATGGAAAAGCAACTGCAGGTAAACATTGGACATGCGTTTCTACTACCATGAGGAAATTTATGAGCAAACCCAGTAAAATATTCCTACCTGATAGTTGACACCAGCCGTTGTAACAAAACGAATAAATCCTAAGATAATCAATGGAATACTGGACTGCACTGCATTCTTCCAGCCACTGAAGCATGGAAAAATTGATATCATCAGATGAATGCAAAATGCAGTATATGATCACACTACAAACACCATACATTCGGACCTAAGCTCCACAAACAAGAAACTAAATATTTTGAAGGCACCATAAGCTAAATTTCATTGTGATGTCAGATCTCATTTTAAAGCAGAACTTACAAACACATATCCCAAAAACATCCTTCTTATGCTCATTAGGAAGTATAAGGCTTTCAATGTATTTCAGGAATTCTTTTTTGGAACGAAAAGATAATTGATAGAATCCAAGATGGGTAGAGAGAAATAAGGAAGACAAATCTCTGTTAACATATGAAATCATAATCTAACTTCATAACATTAATAAGATAACGTAGAACTGGTAGAAGAAAATAGAAGAAATAAATGCATCAAGATGATATAAAATAAGAATCTTGTTCTATACTCCTCTCAATAGCCACGCTTAGGAGAATCTTCAAAGGGCCAAAAGTCTCAAAAGTCTTTTTTTTATGATATGCCTGCTTCTAAGTTGCTAAGCATATTTATAATGCCAAATACAATCTAAAATAATGAATAAAATCTAGATAACTAAATAATTAAATAAAATTGAATAAAATCTCTTAGAATCTATATCTATATAAAATACTAAATAAAATCTAAAAAAAATAAATATTTGAATAAAATTTAAATAACTAGATATCTAAATAAATATATAGATATCTAAATAAATATCCAAATACCTATATAAAATCTAGATAACTAAATACCTAAATAAAATTTAAACAATATTATTAAATAGAAAATATCTAAAATAAATTAAAAATAATATTTATTTATAATATCTATCTTCCTAGATCACCCATTATCTATAAACTCTATCAATAATCAAATGATTTTGCAATGGCACCACATCATGGAAAGTTGGAAACAAATTGACTGTAAATTTCCACTACCTATTTGATTCCTTCTTTAATGTCAACTTATATAATTACAATGATTTTAGGACACAATTTTGGTTTTGAGCTCCACTTGAATGGTGTAGGATTTTGCATGTCCTAACCAATCCCATATCTTGTCTATCCAACAACTCGATTGTTCAAACAATAGAGTGGTTCCCTTTTCATATTTCATTGATACCAATGCAAGAAGATTATAATAAAGGAGAATAAAAATTTTCACATAAGTTGATGGAGCCAGTGGAGAAGGAGGAAAATCATATCCAAAATCCTGTCAGCTAGGACATGTTACGCACATTACCTCTTTGCCCCTTGTATGAGTATGCCATCTAAGCCCTCTAATTGATTTGGATGGAACAACAAACAATTTATGAAAACTGAGAGGGAAAAAGACCCATCTATACACAAACACACACACACACACACACACACAAATTCTTGTAACTTAGTAAGCTGACAAACATAGATATTCTCTGAGTTCTATTTTTAATTTAACATCTACAGATCATCCATGGAAACAAGTTCGATTACTCACATAGTTTTGATATTTCGAGCTTGCCGAGAAACAAATGAGTTTACCACCACAAATGATCCAACTCCAAGATCCATCTGGCAAGCGCAAGTAATCTCAAATCAATAGCATAATGAAATTATCAAGCATAAATACCTGGCATCTGACTCCGTAAAACAATGGATGCAACTAATAAGTACAGGATGACCACATGATAAAAAGAGACAGATACCAACTCTAAAGTTAATTACTTTTTATGGCTCATTATTATCTTTCCTCATGCAAGAAAAACTCCTTTCAAAATGTAACTATTGTAAGCAAATATTTAACCCAAGAAACCAGAAAATTTTTTAATAAATTAAGAATCAATCGAAAGATGAGTAAAAGAGTGGAGGTCAAGGAATCCTCCTCAGTTGAGACCAAAAGCAAACAGGAGAAAATGAAAAATTAATAAACAAATAGCACATAAGAGCTTACGAATTACTTCAAAAGTCAAACCACCAAAAAAAAAAATTAAAGAAACCATGAAGCTAAGTGGATGGAAATCCATGCTGAAGAATCTTTTTTTATTTTTTGGCTCAAATCCATGTTTGAAACAAATCTGGCACAATGACACAAGCTACTTCAAAATTTTGTTAGTTAATGGCTTTTTCACATGGGAAGTCTTGGAAGACGTATAGAAGCAATGAGCAGGTATCTCCTTTGCAGCAGTGTTGGGGGATGTCTTTCTATTTCAAACAGTAGTACAAGATTGGTTCAAGTGCCATAAAATTGTAACCAATAGCTCATTTATCTAATTATAACCATAAAAAGCAAATTTGCAAATTTCTGAAAAATCTTACCAAACTAGTTCCATACGTTTCAGTCTTTGCAAGTCTTCTGGGAAATATTCTGAAGTCAACAGCCAAAATACACTCACATGTCATAATCATCTGCAGAAGTTGAATTTCACAAACATGGAAAAAAGTATAATTGGGATAATGGAATGACAAAGAGTTCAATGGTAACTCTACTTACCACAATAAACCTATATGATGAAATGTATGCACGAAGAGAATTGGAATCTCCTTGAAAAGAAAGAGAAGAACCACCAAATTTGTATCTAAGAACATAGAAGTGAATCATCATGCACTTTAGAATCAAGCTCGTGAAATTTTCAGAATCAAAGATTGATTGCATAAATCTGTCCCTTCAGAAGGTAAGGAAATTAAATTCACATGATTACCTTTTAGAAGCAACAGAAATTAATGTGAAGATTACGATCAAAAATGACCCAATATAGGTCCAATCTGCCAATACCTGTAATGCGCGTTTAGAAACCAAAAAACAAATAAATTTAAAAAAAGATAAAATACTTTATTTAAGGGGGGAAAGAAACTTCAGAATTTTTCTAATTTCAAAAAGTTACACGAATAGAGGATAGGCAAGAAATTACAAGAAGTCTCTCAAAAAAAGTGGTATTTTTATTCATTAAAATGGTCCCTTTATGAACCAAAATCTACCATAAGCTTACAGTGACAAACGAGACAACAGGAAGAACAATGGCAAGATAATCCAAACACAGGGTGGTTAAGTATGTTTTCATATTTCTAGACTCAGCCACTGCATCATCGTTTTTCTTTAGCGAGCCACCTGTGGTGAAAAAAGGTGAAACAAAATCATATCTGATATGTGCCATGCATGATGCTACGCGCCAAGCGGACCTCGATTGGAACAACAAACAGAAACGTGGACCAATTATTAGCATGTAAGCTTAATAAAGCCTTGTGCAGAATTTAGATGACACATTGTTATTGGGAAGGGAAAAACTAAAATCTTGAGTATCAATGAACTGACAACAAAGCAAGCTGGAAGCAAATACGAAAACAACAAATTTGCAATTTTGATATTTGTAAACGTTAAATTCATTGATCTAGATTGAAAAACAAAACAAAGCAGAAGTCTCAGGACTGACCAGCCATGGAATTGGAGATGGTTGCGTGACGAAAAACGACCAACAACTGAAAGCGCAATCAATGACAACTATATCACATCTCAGTTAGTATAAAGATTATTACTATTCAGTGCGGGACGACTCACAGGAATTGCCACGGTAAGAACCGCTATTTCCAGCATAGAGGACCCGGTCAAGTTGCTTACGAACCTGTGCAATTACCAGGAAAAATAAAAAAGAGAGAGAGGACCACATTTGATAAACTATTCATTATATTGAAGAAACTACAGGACAATAAGATTTACTCCTCTTTCTCAAGCTTCAAAGAATCCATAGGAAATGGCTGAAGCACAGATGTGGTGACAAAACAAATGTAATACTCAGCTTTGGCCGAACGAAGATAGTAGCATAACACAAACTGACGCGTTCGACCCCTCCAGGTTGCAAGGTAGTGCCTGGAGATTTGAGACACAGTAGAACGCGCTCTCCTCCATCAGGGCTGTTAGTTTATAAGCTTTTTTCCCTCTCTCTTTCCGATCTCATTTCTTCTTCATTCTTCGGCAAGATCGAATGAGAATTTATATTTAAAATTTATATTTAAAGTAGAGGGAAAAAACCTATTATCCAGATAAATTTGCTTTTATTTAATATAGATAAACGCTCTCTCTCGAAAATTAAAACAAAAAGTTATTAATCAGCTAAACATTTAACGATTTATGAATAATTTGACTTGTTATAAATGTAATATTCAATATTGCTATTACTCTTGATTTTTCAACAGAAAGATCATTATTATTTTCAATAACTATCAACTATAAAGTTATTAATATATGAAATATATATAAATTTGTATTATTAATAAATTACGAACTAACTTGCATTTAGAAGGAGACACACATTGGCGTTTTGCGAATTCTCATTGAGCAATTAATTCATTTTTTGTAAATATGCGGATTTAAAACTTCCAATAAATCAACACTGATTATTCGCTGTCACGCATAAATTAGTATCTTAATTACAGTCTAGAATCTAGATTACTTAATCATAATACAAGAATCGGTAGCTTTTTGACACTTGAGGGACTGCTTGATCATTCACACATAGGCACAAAATATGACACCGACTAAACGCACTTATTTGGACGGGTCGAAGCATAAAATCAGATCGATAAGCCATGCCCTGGACACTAGATTTTGTTTTGGCTCCCACTGACTCTTTTTTAGACAAAACTAAGCATAAGAAAACCAAGGGCTAATGTGTTTGATAAGGGGGAATGGAACAAAACCATTGGAGGCACCAGGCACAAAATTTGATCCGAATGCAATGATGCTAAGGATCTATTTAAGACACGAACATGTATTAGTGAATTGAAACAATGCTCTCGTAGGATGAAAAGGTCATCGGACAGGCTAACTGATACACAAAAAAAGGTGAGAATGGAAGTCATAAAACAATTCATCCTTCCCCCCTTGTGTTTTCTTCGCAAAAGAAAACCATAAAGATACATCATCATCATCATATGGTGAGATAAGATCACAACCTAAATAAACTACAGATACACGTCCTGGCGATGAGTCCTTATCAGCCATTTTCTTCAATAGCAAAAAATTAACTGCTGAATTCATTCCAAGTCATCAATCCAATCACCATATATCCTACTGATTTTATCTGGACCCTTCCACTTCTGATGAGCTCTCTGACCTGGCCTCTGAATTACAATGGAAGGCCTTTGTGAAGGAACTCCAATATGATAGACATCAGGATGAGCAACAGGAGTGACTGATGAAACCACATTATCAGCAGGCGTTTTTGAAGGCACCCCACCCTGCTTCGTGTCAGGAGCAGCGGCAGATGCAGTGTCTCTATTTTCTCCCTCCATCGGCCCCCCTCCATATCTGTGCAACTCTGAGTTGGAAATATACAAAGAGAACTCAGACTGTGAAATGGCTGATTAAGTACAGTTCTGGCGGTAACACCGAAACAGTCTAAGCCCCTTAAGGTACTGAGTTTATGCTAATGTCAAGGAAAAATGCCTTTAAATATTACACACAAGGACAAGTACTGATTAGCTGATAGTGTAAAACAGGACTAGACTCATTCCTCGATGCAGATAACATTTAGAAGGAATAATAAGTGGCAGGTACACGTCACTGACTAAATCATTAGCATTTAATTAATGATGACAAACATCCGCAGAAACCAGTCTCAGATAACACAACTTTCATGATGACTAGAGTAACAACAATAGCTTAAAAACAAATAAGACATTTATACTCCAACTCTTGCTTAACACTATAACACAAATACATAGCTCCATTTAAGGGTAAGGAGTGTTGTCTGAATACAAGAAAATCTTCTCTTTTCTAATGTTGTGGCCAAGAAAGAACCGAATCATGATTACACGTCGGTCATGTCCAAGTTTAACCACAAAATCCTCAACTAGGTCTCATTCTCTCAGAGAAAGTGATAATGACAGACCAAAATTATAGGGCAAATTTTCTAATTTTATTTTACTCTTGCCATTTCAGATGCAATTTTTTTCAGATTGATCACCATTCCAGTTTTTATTGATTTGAAATGAGGAGGAACCAAGTGCTACATAGTTCATCATTCCTATCCCTTCTGAAAAGTATATCTGTTCGAATACAATGTACTCCCTTCACTCTCAAATATAAGACATTGCTAACTAATTGTCAAATACTAAAGAAATTGAACGAAATCGGTTCTCTTTATTAAATTTTTCACATTTGCCCCTATTAAATTGTTAATTTCTCTCTCTAAGTCTTCCTCATGCTTTGAAAATCATTTTTTTATTTTAAGCTTCATAATTAGGGTTAAAATTAATAATTAATGCACCAGTCAAACCCCTCCAATGTCTTATATTCTCGACCAAAGCAATCCTACCTCTATTGTCATACAGCATTTAAGACTAGAGGGAGTAAAACAATTGTCCCCTACTTCTTCCCCTCCTTTTCCCCCTTTTGTCCTCCTTTCCAGTCCATGGATTTTGGAGGTAGCTAACTATTTTAATCACATTATTTAGCTCCATATATGTTAGGTACATTGGTTGCTAAGAAAATGTGATTTCCTCCTAATGATGGTTCTCCCTCTCAGTTGAAATTAACATGAATCTGAGGATGCCATTTTTTCAGCCAGAGGAGACCCACCAATCGGGGGCTGAAGTATTTAGCTTTTTCTCAGCTGGGTCCAACTTCATTCTTCAACAACATATTATTAGCATGCCCGTCTTCCCAAAAGCTCCCTTCAATTTGCCCTCTACAGTGATATCAGAAGTTAACTAAACGTGCACCAGTGTAACCATGACTCATGCCATCTAAAATGCATCTCTCGAAGCCCTGAGGTTTTAAGCTACCCTTTTTTCGAACAAAGTCCAAGTTCTCTTTTCAAGTTTTCACGCTGAAGTGCTGCTGCCTCATATCAAAGGCAGCTTAGATATTGAAGCACACAAAGCATAGGAAGCAAGGGTGAGAATCATCAATATATTAATAAATATCATAAAATTTACACCAAGACATGGCACTATTCACAAGTCATGAATAAAGAGTGAGGCTCATTTCAATTCTATGCAACACACAGACCCCCATCTAGTTATATAGAAACAAAATGGGAACTGAAGAACAATATCCAAATATTCAGGAATTTTTAAAAACTCAATGACAAAGCTGCAGCCACTAGGACAGATGCATGCCTTTTATAAGTGAGTTGAACTGCTTTCATTTAACTAGGATAAGAAACCTAAAATTAAGACTCAGATGAACATAACTACCATTGGTGCTCCAACCAAGAATAAGATAACCAAAGGTTCAAACAACATAGTTCTAAAATCTTAAGTGTACAAAAATTCCGGTAGCCCAGAAATAAATTATAAATAAATTCCCAATTACAGGTACACCAAAAATGAATAACAATTATGTTGGATTTCTTCTCCCCATGCTTCCTTTGACGAAGTCTTAGCTAAGTGCAGAATAGTTTGAAAGAAATGAAAAAGAAATTTCCCAGGCTCAGAGTCACAATTCAGCTGTTACTATATTTCAGTTGTCTGTTAGACCTTTCACTAAGCAATGAATAAGAACCCATTTTTTTCCTATGATCATATGTATGTGTACCTCATTTCTTAAATAAAACCTTGTCAGGGATAAATAAATCAATTCAAAGTAAACTTGACTTGTATGACTGATGAAAGTCAGAATTGTCATATAATTACAGCTAACAGTAGTTAGTATCCTATGTTTTTGCATTGTGGTACAAAAGGGAATTTTTAGACGTAATTACAGCTGTAGTGACCTTAGGAAATGAAAATTTTATGTATAGTAATCCAAAAGCAACCTAATGTCAATACTCAGAATTTGTTATCCGAATCACAAGAATATGTATCCTACTAAAAAGTGACAGTCACGAACTAATTTCTAGTTCAGCAGTATGCTATGTCCGATACACATACCCTTGATTATGATCAAGCAACTGGCATCCCATGTCTTCGCTTAACTAAAATACGAATCTAATTCTTCAACGAAATTTCTAATTCAAGCCTCTAAGTTCCAAGAAAATCCCACTTGAGAGTAATTTTGACGATCTAGCAGATTTGAAAAGATTACAACATAAAAGTTCATCTTTCTTTAGCTAAAGCATCAGCTCTTAAAACAGTGCAAGGTGAACGAATCATACCTGCAGCACCATGAGCAAAATGGCATTTATTTCCAAATGGGCAATATCCAGTCATCTCCCACTTATTGCAAATCCGTGTTTTCCAATTTGATGGCTTGGAATTAGAGCCACTCCCAGCACCGCCATACCCACCTGGGCCCAAACTTATAGCCACACTCTCACGATTCCTAGATTGCTCATCGTGAAGAAATGTACAGTTATCTCCATATGGGCATCCTTCTTCCGTGTAAAACTTCTTGCAATGGCGACCTTTGTATGCTCTCTGCATCTCGCCAGCAAACCCAGATGACCCAATAGACGGAATTTGAAACTCCTCCCTCGGTTCCGATATTATGGATTTTTCCTCCTCATGAGCAGCCACAATTTCTTGCCAGTTCGGAGGTGGCCGACGAAGCTCTTCAACACTGTGCGCGAAATTACAGTTCGTGATATACGGACACGTACCGGCCCGGAATTTGCAACATAGTTTTGTCTTGAAGAACATTTTCCCAATTGCCTTGGACCGATTCGAGGAAGTCACATCTTGAGAATTCCTAGATTTCTTGTTTGGGGGTTCGCTTCCAGATCGAGATTGGGACTGCCTTTGATCGTAATTCGAGTCCGTGGGAGTGTCAGCGTCGCCGTTGTTCCAAAATCGATAATCGTCTTCCGTAGCCCAAACGGCCTGGTCACTGGACCAGTTTTCATTTCCGCCACCAGTGATTATTTGAACGACGTTTCCATCTCGACCATAATCCATTACAGCAATACAAAATTGTACACTTGTTAAGTTGAAGTGCAGAAAGAAAAACCCTAAGCACGCAATGCCGTGCTAACTCGTTCAACTAAAACATCAAACACATGTCTGAGACCAAACGACAAAGACAACAACACAACAGTCTCACCGGACCGAACACAACTAAAAAGCAAAATGGATAAGTTAGGAGGAACAAGAAAATAGAAGACAACCGAATGACTAAATGAGGAGGCCAGTAGCTAGATCTGTGGCATCAGGAGAAAACATGGCGAAAGAACATGAATTGATTTGGAATTACCGAATTAAGAAACCGATTTACTCTTTTGGAATTAGCATGGGACAATTTCATAGTTGGGAAAGAGTTCAAAGATTTGCGTAATAAATAAAGGCAAGCAAAATATAACTCGGATACAAATAAATAAATAAAGTGTCCAACTTCCAGCTTAACACTCGAGCGAAAATTTTAAGACAAAAAAAAAAGCCGTTATTTGAAATCTTATCTGTAGTTTTCTTCCATTACATGAATGGAGATTGTAATATTAATCACTGCTTCCTACACTTCAAAATATATTGACTAGATCACCCAATTTAAAATTTGCCCCTGATTTATTTTTGCAAGTAATATAATAAAAATAAAATAAAAGTTAAGTGCACCAATTTTTTTGATAAAAATGTACCAATTGATTAGGAGTACCTAAGACATTAAAAACAGTTAACAAAAAAAAAAAAAAACAAATGAAACATTAAAAGCACCACTGGAACCTTGAATTGTTTTGGTAGATGTGCTGCTGTCTACAGCCGATGGCGTATGAGATTAAAATATGCCAACTAAATTAGAACGAAATTATTTTAAACAATAAAGATATGATTAAAAAAATATTAATAAATTTTTTTAATTAGATTTTTGAACAGACATACTATAAAATAAAACTGTTTAAAAAAAACATATTTTAAAACCAAGGAAATAGTATGTTTTTAGTGTCATTGATCCTTATAAGGTTCAAAGACTGAATTTACCATTTTAGACCATGTTTGATTTGTACATTTAAAATTTTTTCTTACATAAAAATGTAAAATACTGTATTTATTATAATTTTATTATCATTTACTTTAAATAATTATTTTATTTTAAAATTTGAAAATACGTTCAACATATAAATGTATGGGTATACCTTTAACGTATAAAAATAAAAAGTAGTATGTTATGAATAGCGCTGCTCATTTGAGATTTTGAACTGAATATACAGTGCCACCCCAATTAAATACTTAATAAAAAATTGTAATACTTCATAAAAATTTTGGAAAAAAACAATTCCCAGATTTTTTTTTTCGTATAACATGAATTACATTACGTTAATATGTTTGTTCTTTAGCATTGATCTCATTTGGCATATTAGAATTGGGACTGGGGAAATGGAACTCTAAAATTTGCTTATTTAGTGTACAAGAACTTGATTTTCTAGGAAACTCAATTTTACCAAAAATCATGGAACTCGCTTCCATTATACTCTCATAAGAACTCAATTTATTTCTCTCATTTAAATAAAAATTTTTATCTCACTTTCATCATCATGTCAAATATATTTATTATCTCATATTTACTTTTACTTTTATAAAAAAACTCTTCTCTGTACTTTGAGAGTTCATGTAGGAATATTGTCTTGCGAATGACAAATTTTTCTAACTGTTAATCATTTTTATACAAGGTGGTTTTATTTTCTTTATTTTTGATATAATTAATTTTTAGTTTACCAAATTCACTTCAATTAGTTATCTATTTAGCCTTTCAAGTTTAATTGTTATTATTTTGATCCCTTACATTTTCTTAAGTTACCATGCCAGTTCTGAAAGTTTTAAAATGCAAATTTACTTTCAAATTAATCTAATATACTCATTTCATTCAAAAATATAATGTACTTTTAACCAAATCTCATCCCCAATAAAATAGTTATTTCTTTTCAAACTTACTCTATCTTTCATATTTATCCGTATTTAATTGGATGTTTCACTCTAAAATAAAGATAAAGTAATTTATTTAATAAGAAAATATTTGAAAAAAAATACAATAATTATACCTTGAAAGATTAAAAATACCTTATATTTTTAAATAGAGAAAGTATAAAATATTTTAATGACTTGTGGTATATCTATGTAGTTGAATGAGAATAAATTAATCACGAAATCACTTTAATTTTTTATTAATATAATTCCTTATGCTAGATTTTATTCTTTTGTTTTTTAAAGTTTATGAGTATGTTTTTTCTCTATTTCAAAAATTATATTTTTTATTGATTTTCATGACTATCATCAATATTTTGTTATTCATTTTAACAATGTTATTTCCTATTTAATCAATGTGAATTAAATTGATAATTGAAATAAATTAAAAAAATTAAACTAATAAACATTAAAGGGAAAAATTACAATCAGGTCTCGTACAAGGAACCTAAATATAATCAAGTCCCACAAAATAGAGAAATATTCTGTAATCCCTTGGTCTTTTGGTGTGAATAATTCTGTAAGTAAAATTACTCATTTATCCTAACTAAATCAAAAGGAAAGAAGAAAGAAAGAGAACCCATTTTCATGCACTGGAGGTAACGAGTTGAGCTCTCGCGATCATCTTCGAAAAAGTGAGCCAAGTAGGATTATTTTGTAGCTAATATGCCACCCCCTATTATCCTCCCATCCCATATTGCTGCATCTTTGATCTTCTAAGTGTATTCGATATTTATGACTGTAGGAGTTCGTTAGGGAAGAAAAGCCTAACTTCGACCTTCAGTTTTACTAATACTGTGACCGCTCTGAACAAGGTAAATGATGAGACTGGTTTGCATGTATTATTATTGATCATTTAAGTCAATCTTTTATTGTTTGTTAGGCGAATAAAACTATGTGGGTTGTCTTTTTCTCTCTCTATGAGTATATTAGATTGGTGGTCTCTCTCTTTGTGTGGTATGTCTGTGGTGAGCAGTATTAGTCCTTGCATTTGTAATGGTGTATCATGCTACTTGGTTGAGTTAATAAATTTGTTATCAAATGGAAAGATGTGTTGTTAATAACCTTAACATAAATTGTCAATATATTATAAGTAGTTGCCAATATGTTCTGTGTGATTCAGGTTGAGCTAATAAATCTATTATAAACAGCAAGTTACACGGATAAATCTATTATAAACAACAAGTTGCATGGATAAGTCTATTATAAAATGGCAAGATGTGGTGTTAATAGTTTAAGCGTAAATTGTTAATATATTATGAGTAATTGTCAATATGTTCTGTATGATTCAAGTTGAGTTGATAAATCTATTATAAAATAGCAATATATATTGTTAATAGTCTAAGCATAAATTGTCAATATGTTATGATTAGTTGTTAATATATTGTGTATGGTGCAGGTTGAACGGATAAATCTGTTATGAAATATTTAGGGGAGTATAAAAACAAGAACAATAAAAAAATGGACAACATATAAAGAGTTGAGAGGAATGTTATCATCAGTTATGAGATATGAAAGTAAGTGAAGAAAGTGGACAATGCGTGAGACTAGTATTCACACATGATAATTCACATCTATGTGCATTCACAGTTACAAATATGTTAATCTAAATATTTTTGCAACCATTGAAGACTATAAGGCCTTTAGGAAGGCTTAGGATGTGAATATCAATTTTAAAACAAGAAGGTTTATCATTGTAAATTATATCATAAGGCAGGTCATACTTTCAAAACTTGGAAGAACCCTAATCTATGCTAATTAATGCTAGAGGCGTGTATTTTATTGTTCATATAGCTGACTTTTTTTTTGTAAATATATATGGTTTTTTCGTACATGTTATTAGACTCAAATAGAGTTAGTAAATATCTATGCAACTCATGTTGTTTTTTTTAAATGAGTTGTGAATATTATGTAATGACATGGAAGATACTTTTAAAGCTATACATGAACTTGTAAATAATGATGTAAGCCTTATTGTCAAATGAATGAACATGAAGTAGTAATTTCTCCCTTGCCTTATTGTTATTACCTTTTGCCTAATTGTAAATGGTTGGCATGCAACACTCATGTACATTTTATTAGTATTTTGTTATACTAGAAACTAAATAAGTTGTGAATGCCTTTTGCCCAATTATTACTCCCCCTTGCCTTGTTGTTATACCCTTTTGCCTAGCTGTAAATAGTAATCTATAACACTTGTGCATTTTATCAGTTGCTTGTTACATTTAAAAAATATATCAGTTATCAATGCCATTTTCCTCCTTATTATTTTCCCTTCCTTGTTATTATTTCCCATAGCCTATTTGTAAATGGTTGGTTTGCAACACTTGTGCATTTTATTAATAGCTTGTTACACTTAAAAATATATTAATTGTCAATACCTTTTGCCCCATTGTCATTCTCCTTTGCCCTGTTGTTATTTCCCTCATCTTAGTTGCAAATGGTTGGCTTGCAACAAAGTTATTACAACTTATTGGTCAATTGTATATTATGTGATAAATAATATAAAGGTCTCTTAACAATTGTTCGGGCTAAAATATGTAATGTCGCTCAGGTAGGTCACAAGGTTAGTTGAGTTGAGTAACTGAAGCAGCAGGCCCAATATAAACAGAAAGGCTGGCCCCGAAGCTCGATAAAGGCCACAATAAATAAATATGCCTAAATCCCGTTAGTTGTAAACATTAGATTATTAGCACAAAAAAATACAATCTTAAGTAATGCCAAAATTTACGGACTTCACACTCAAATATCGCGATGAAACAGGCTAATTACCAAAATGAAGAGCATGAAATAAAGACCGTACCATGAGTTTCGTGAGATTTTTGATTCTTTGACAGAACGTGCTAAGTTTTAAGGGAGAGGCTACCACCATTCTGACACTATAAATAGAAGATGAAGACACACAAAAAAGTAGTCAATACTCAACCAAAGATTCGCATTTTATACTTTTCAGCCTTTAAGTTTATCAGTTAATTTTCAGTTTAGACTTGTAATTTCTTGTACTGCAATAAAATTAAACACTTATTCTACCAAAATTTTATATCTTTTTACATCCAAATGAATTATGGTAAGGGAGCTTGGGGCCCTTTTTGTTATTAATTGAGACTCAGCATCTCTGACACGCCTAATATTTGTTGTTTGCCACGAACAACAATAATTGTAGGAAACTTGTCTTGTCAACAACTGTATATTGGTGAGAAACATGTAATGACTATTTTTGTTAAAATTAAAACTAGTATTCATTCTTGATATAAGCATTTACAGAGCGAAATATACAAAATGAAAATTTCATAATAATGTGTAACAAGGAAAGTGCATAAAGCGTAAAAAAGTTCTATCCTAAAATGATATGCACAACTTGAAT